TTGGGTGACAAACTGGAAATGGATGAGAATAAATGGCAGGGGGATGACTAGTATATCGCAGAGATCATTACTTGGGCCTTAGTTAGTCACAATATATATAAAAGTTACCTAGGTGAGAGAACCAAATGCAACATTTCCAAGTTTGCTGACAACTCAAAACTGGAAAGGATAAGGAGCAAGGAGGATGCAAGGAGGCTTCAAGGTGATTTAGACCAGTTGAGTGCATCGGCAAACAAATGGGAGACTCAATACAACACAGCTCAATGTGAAGTTATACTCTTTGGTGTGGGAAGTACAAAGGAAACGTATTATTTAAATGGATGTACAAAGGAACCTTGGTGTCCTGGTATAAAAGTAGACAGGTACAGCAAGCAATTAGGAAGGCAAATTGTATACTGGCCTTCATTTCGAAGAGGATGAGTGTTCTGAAGTAAGGATGTCTTCCTAAAGATATACAGATCCTTCGTAAGACCATACCTGGAGTACTGCATGCAGTTTTGGTCTTCCTATCTAAGGAAGGATATACTTGCCATAGACGGAGTACAGCAGAGGTTAACTAGGCTGATACAAGGGATGGCAGGACTGTCATTTGAGGAGAGATTGGTTCAAGTGGTCCCGTATTCACTTGAGTTTAGAAGGATGAGAGGGTATCCGATAGTATGAAATTCTAACAGGACAGGTCAGACCAGATGCAAGGAGGATGTTTTCCCTAGGTGGGAGTAGAACCAGGAGATGTTGTCTCAAGATATTGGATAGACTATTCAGGGCTGAGATAAGGAAACATTTCTTCATTCAAAGAGTAGTGAACCTGTAGAATTCTCGACCACAGAATGCTGCGGAGAAAAAGATAAAGTTCTGGATTTTACAGCCATAATCTAGTAGAAAGTGGGAATATGGCATTGAGATTGAGGATCAGCCATGATCACTGAATGGTTCAGCAGGCTCAAAGACCTACTCCTGTTAAGTCTTCCTCATGGAGACACATGGAACCTGCATCCCTCACAGAGACACATGGAAGAGATCTGGACCCAAAGCATACAATGTGCAGGCCCAATGATTCATCAACCCATCTTGACACTTGCGAACCAAGCTCCCAACCACAGTACAAAAGCTCCAATACTTTTGGTTACCTCAGTAAAGTTGAAGGCTAAGGGAATAATCCCTGACACAAACCTGGAGTGGACCCTAAAGGCAGATGGATGTCTGAAACTTTTGATCTTTCTAACAACCCTTGCAACCAAATCACTGCCAAATCTAGTGCTCTGCATTCTTTTGGATTCAGCCAGAATGGGTGAAAAGGGAGACACTGACATTCGGGCAGCCAGGGTCTCCATCCATTTTGTCCAGGCTTGTGCCCTGTAGAGAACATTCCAGTTTTTTGGAACGTCTTAGCACACATTGGGGCAGCAGTAATGAGTGATAAAGCCAAAATGGATTGGTGTAAAGAATGGGTGCTTTGGGCAATGTGGCAGTGGGAGGGACTCTAATGTCCCAATGGTCAGTCACTGCCTACTTCAAGGCAGGCAGTGCACATCTAGTAAGGTGCTTCAAGCTTATAAATCTCCACCCAACAAAGAAGGTAGAATTAATTGCACCAGACAAATGCCAAAAACCAACTTTTCAACTGCCAAGCTGGAATGTCAGGGCCATTTTCATGGGACTGACAGTAAATTCACAAGTGGATAATTATGTGAACAAGTGTGATCAACATGTCTAAACTACGAAGGTGCAAGGATATAGTTTCCCTATAAGAGACTGGCTCATCTAGTGGATTACTGAAAGAAAACAATGCACAAATCATCTGACACAGGAAGACTTCAAAGGAAACAGGCAAACAAGGTCTTGTTGATAGAGTCCCCTCACACACAGTTCAAAACATGTCCTCCAAACTCAAGCTCAAACAGAAACAATTAACCTCAGAGTATCTATGCTCAAGCTGTGCCCCATGACAGAACTGAAGGGCCAGTTCTATGGAAAATTGACAATTACCGACAGAATTCCTAATTGAAAACCTGTTTACTTACTGGGGAATGTCAACAGAGAGGGGGTATCGACCATGAGGCATGGATCTTGTGCCTTGGACACCATGGCCTGGGAAACATAAATATGAGAACAGACAGGACTTTGAGCTTTGCTGCTACCACAAGCTTTGCATAATTAACGTCTTCATTCAGAACCAACAGTACCAGCAAGTATCCCAGAGACATCCAAGGTCAGGGTACTGGCACCAACTGGGTCCAATCATTACCAGATGTGACTTTCTGAACAACATTCTCAACACAGCACTCCTTACGTGCACTAGAATTAATGAAGTTTCTACAAAGTGGAATTCCTGTCCTTGCATTGACATCAACACTACTGCCTGCCTACACAAAACAAATCCACAATTCATTTAAACAGGTGTTCACTAGCATTTTTACACAGTACAGAAGAGAAATGCAACATACTCTGAGACACTGCTTAAAATACTGCATTCTCAACATGAGAAACAAAAGTCAAAAGCAAGGGCCAGTTTGAAAAATGAAACCTCACTGAAGCCATGCAATCTGCTTTCATTGATTACAGGATAGATCCAAGTGAGAAGACTCAATGTACTAACAGTTGCATGAAGTAACGTCCAATTGACTGCTAGGCAGTGCATCAATGACTAATGGTCACAACTCTACAAAATACCCAGATATCCTTAACACATGGAGTATTAGGGGCGCATATTAAGGGATCAGAAAACGCAACAGGTCCAAAGAAAACAGTTCTATTGAAAGCAAAAGCAGGGGAGGTCACCACGATCTGCAATAAAATTATTGGAGAAATAAGTCAACACTATCTTATATTGTAAACAACATGGAAGCTCCAGACAACATGGAGAGCCCTCCTGTCAAGACAGTACTGTATATCAAACCCAAGGTGGAACAGTTTAGTAAAACTATTGCTTCCCTTGTCCAGGAGTACAGTTCCATGCTAATGCTTTACCAGCTGAATGCTGAACTCAAACTTGGGGAACAATCACTCCGCCAGTATCCACATGAACTTCTCGGTCCCTGCTCGAAGGGACAGGCAGTGGCCTGGGATGCATATAATGCAACAAACAAAATTGGGACCCGTGTGCAACAGGCAGAGTGACTGTGATGATTGCAACGAAGAACATCGCAGCTCCCTGTTACTCTTTATGGGATAAAAGTATTTACCTGTATCGCCCTCATCAGACTGCTGACAGGAATTCAACGTAGAAACAATCCAGTTTCAATACTGGACGATCAACATGGTCACAAGTGGCAAGAGTATTACCATGAACAAACAGACTGCTATATATCACCTCATCCACACATTTGACCATGTAAGCACAGGCAACATATTTAAACTTGAGAAAGTTGGTTAATGTGATCCTCTTTTCATGGCAACATGATAGGAAAGGTCAACAATGACGAGATAACAGTGGGATCAAGCAGGGTTGTGTTGGCTTTTTTTTGCTGTTGTCATATGCCTTCAGGGCATATACGTATAGAAATGATACAAAGCTATTCAGCCTCATTTACCTTGGATTCATGACAAAGGTGCACTAGTTCTTCTACATAGAGTTGCTCTTCACTACTGAGCCATGCTGGAAATGTACAGACTGTCTCATGAATGTAAGTGTTTGTGGTTTGACCTTCAGTGTCGAATGCAGGTCATGATCCAGGATGTTGCCAGATGATCATTTACCACCAATGACAACACATGATGTTGGAGGTTGTTTGATAGCTTTTTATATCTAGACATCATAATCTCCCGCAATCTGTCATTTGATGCTGAAATCAACACATAAATCACAAAAGCTACAATTGTTATGTCCAGATTGAGAGCGTAGAGCAACACAAATCTGATGGAGAACCCTAAATTAAGAGTTTACCAAGCCTTGTCCTTTAATGCACTTCTCTGTAGTGGTGTAGCCGATAACATTTTCTAGATAAGAAGAATGGCTGAACAGTTTTCAGCTTTTGTCTCAGATGTATCCTCATCATCTCTTGGAAGGACTGCATCATCAACTTACAAGTCCTGGTATGTGCTAATTACATCAAACGTGCATTGCTAAGCCAATGATGTCTGTGGTAGCTTGGCCACATTCACTACGTGATGGCTGGACACACAAACAACCTTCTGTACAGTAAACTGCCAATGAACCACGTCCTCCTGGGCATTCATACCACCACTATTAGGCCATCAAGTGTGAGAAACAAAGATGACGGACACTGACACTAGAAACTATAGGACAGGTGATGACAGTTGTGACCTCTAGAGGCTGAGTGGAAAGGCACTGGAACAAGCAAGCAGAAAGGAGAAGCTCAGTTGGTTGAAAAGAAAGTATTCTGCATCTTTGTCAGCACAGTGTTCCTCTGCAACAAATATGGACTGTCTTGCCAGGAAGAGGCTTGCGAGCTATACCAGGTGATGCTTAATGCAGTTGACCACCTAGATACAAACCATTTTGAGATGGAAGGCTGCCACTAGTGCATGGTCTTATGAGGATTTAATACAATATTTATTACAGGCCTACATTGAAATAATGTCCATCGATAAATGTCTTACTGTTTGACCCCTACATCATATAAAATCCCTGGGCCACTAGAATTTCTGACTTACTAAAATGGCAAGTTACCTCACAAAATAAAGTTTAGTGGCAAGTTCATTTTTATTTCAAGTATAATCATTTTTTTTTAAAATTGGGATTTCAACAATGTTGGCTAGATTGCATTTTTGACCATTTTTCATTTTCCTTACTTATTGCTTGATCACTTCAGAAGGCATTAGCAGTCAAATATGTTGTGTGAGACTGCAATCAAATATATAGCCCAGACAGGACAGAGGAAGCAGACTCTTCTCCCTGAAGAACATGAGCAAACTACTCTATTGTAATAATCCAACAGGTTTCATGGTCACTTTTTTCGTGGTACCAGCTTCCAAGTTACCATGTTCATTGAACTCAATATCACAACATCGTACGTAGTTGAATATTAGCTCCTTACCTATGCAAAAGGCAGCCAACAATCGCACAGCAGAATAAGGTGGATCACAAGTTGGAAAAAAGGGCTGAATCAGATAATTGGCAAATGTGATGGCAATGACAGCTTGGCATGCTGGCTCAACAATTAATAGAGATGTCCAGAGACGCAGAAATGCCAGGAAACCCCCAAACGATTCCAGTATGTAGGCATAGCTTGCTCCAGATTTCTTTATAGTTGTTCCAAGTTCTGCATAGCAGAGTGCTCCAAAGACAGAAAATACTCCTCCCAATGCCCAGATAATCAATGAAAGGCCATAGGAACCACTGAATATTAGAACTCCTTTGGGAGAAACAAAGATGCCAGATCCAATCATGTTTCCAACAATCAGGCAAATGCCATGCAACAAGGAGATATCCTTCTTAAGTCTCACGGAATCACCAGAAGATTTCTTAGAATCAACCTCCATGTTGTCACAGTGAATAGGTGGATCAACTCAATCCTACACTATCAGAAAACTACGTCCAAACTTAAAGACATGCCTTAGGAATCTGCAGAAACAAACATTGAAAGACAAAATTAGAAGATGCAGCATATACATTTTAAAATTAAACCAAGTAATAAACAATGAAACATTTCTCAGTCTTCTTGTGCTTAAATATTATGATTCTGTGGTTAAGCATGACTTCTTACCCACTGGCATTTCATATCCATCGTTGTAACTCCCATCCGTCTCATAGATGAAACTCTACGTGCAGAACCTAACCTACTTTGAATCAATACATGAGTATAAATAGTGAGAGGATGTGGTGTCTCAAGGTTGCTAATCTACGCTTTTGGCAGTAGGTCATACCAGAATAAATATAGGCTGTCCAATGTCCAATCTATATTTTATCAATTGCCTCAAAGGAGCAAATCACAACATTCAGGTTAAAAGCATGAATTCTACTTTATTGTAATGCCTGGAGTGCAAACAAGAGTATTTCAGAGTTCTGAGAGAGTCTTGCTCTTTCACCATGCTCTAACTAATAATAACCTGAACAGGATGGACACTAACATCTTGGTAGGGAGATTTGCTAGTTCTACTTGGGAGTCTTTAAACTAGCAGGAAGTGGTGATGGGGTGGGGGGTGGGGGGATCTTAAATAGTAGTGAGAATAGAGAGACAGATGAGGATGGTTATGAAGTTAAGCACAGCAAGTTAATTAGAAAAGGCAGGCAACAGCAAGTCAGAGAATGAAGTAATTCTGAAGAATTAAACTGCAGTTATTTCAATGCAAGGGGTCTTACAGATAAGGCAGATGAATTCAGGGCATGTATGTGAATATAAGACTGGGATATCATGGCTATTTCAGAAACATGGACGAAGAAGGAACAGGTCTGGCAGCTCAATGTTCCAGGGTATAGATGCTAAAGGAAGGATCGAAAGGAAGGCAAGAAACAAGGGGAAGTGGTGTTTTGATTAGGGAAAACTCAGAGAGGATATTTCTTTCAGTGAAGCTAAATGGTGGAATTCAGAAATAAGAAGGGGATGGTCACCTTGATGGGATTGTACTAAAGGCCTCCCAATAGTCAGAGGTAAAGTGAGGAGCCAATATGTCAAGAGATTTCAGGTATTTGTAAGGATGATAGGGTGGTAATAGTAGAGGACTTTAACTTTCCAAACATAGAATGGGACTTCCATACTGTTAAGCGCTTGAATGGGGAGGAATTTGTTAAATGTGTTCAAGAAAATTTTCTTTATCAATATGTAGATGTACCTACTACAGAAGGTGCAAAACATGATCTTCTCTGGAGAAATAAAGCAGGGCAAGTGGCTGAAGAGTTAGTGGGGGAGCACTTTGGGACCAGTGATCATAATTCTATTAGTTTTAAAATAGTTATGGAAAAGGATAGGCCTTGTATAAAAGTTAAAGCTCTTAATAGGAGTAAGGCCACTTTTGATGATACGTGACAGGAATTTTTAGAAGTTGACTGGAGCAGAATGTTTACAGGTAAAAGGAACAACTGGTAAGTGGGAGGCTTTCAAGTGATTTGGAAATATGTTGAAACTTAACATTTATGAAAATAATTTATGTCTAAGGCTGGTGTTGTTCTAAGACAATTGAGTGACTCTTTTGATCCCTAATGCAAACAACTGCTAAAGCTTGAGTTGATGTTTTATGGACCAGACCCCTCAAAATACATCAAGGACTTAGCCGCTTCCTGTTAGTGTGAAGAGCAAGGCTGGTAAGCGTAGGGAAGAAGGAATGAATAAAAATATTGAGGCTCTGGTAAGGAATAAGGAGGCACATATTAGGTATAGACAACTGGGATCAAGTGAATCTCTTGAAGATTATAAGGGGTGTAGGTACATTCTTAACAGGAAAATGAGAAGGGTCAAAAAAGGGAGATGAGATAGGTCTGGCAGATAAGATTAAGGATAATCCAATGATATTCTACAAGTACGTTAAGAGCAAAAGCGCAACATGGGAGAAAATAGGACTCCTTAAAGATCAAGGAGGTCGTCTATGTGTGGAACAACACGAGATGGGAGAGATACTAAATGAACATTTTGTGTCAGTTTTTACTGTGGAGAAAGACTTGGAGGTTAGGAAACTCGGGAAAACAAACACTAATGTCTTGAAAACAATCCACATTACAGAAGAGGTGGTGCTGAAAGTCTTAAAAAACATAAAGGCAGACAAATTTCCAGGAACTAATCTAATTCAGTGGTTTGATTAGGTTCATATATCAAATAACATATGCTGAAGAGTGTGTACAGTCTGGAATCTAATTGAGGGGTTTGGAGAGCTTTGTACATTGAACAATGCATACCCAGGATTGACATACAAATTGAATCCAAGAGGGAATCAGGGCAGTTTATGTATAGAATAACAGATACTCCACAACATCCTCATCAAACACTCCCAGGACAGGTAGAGCACAGGGTTGGGCACCGAGTAAAATGCAACCTCTACATTGTTCCCATCAAACACTCCTTGGCCAGGGGTTGGAAATGCCATCTCCACACTATCCAATGACTGTAGATCTGTCTCTAAATTTTGTATCGTTATTTAGGGAGCTATTCAGCTCAGTGAGCCTTCACAGCCCTTGCTCTTGCTCTCTTTCACACACACATTGCCTTGGCTTCTCCTTTTCCATCTCCCTCTTTCTCTCTCGCTGTCTCTCTTTTGCCCATCGCTTCTCTGCCTCCATCCCTCACCTCTCTAGTTGTTTTCTGAGAGTACACAACAATATTGTAATGTTAAGCCAGACTGTGCAATTAGAGCAGTGCTTGCTGTGTCTTGAAGGTTAGAGGATTGGCTGGTCGACCATAAACAGGGTTATTTCCAGCTTGGTGAGCTGGTTCTAATGGGCACCAGAAGGGTTGCTGCTAAAGCCATAGCCATTTACAATCAATATTAATGATTTAGACAAAGGGAAAAAGTGTAAAGTCTCCAGGTTTATTGACAAGACTGGGTAGGGTGGGAGAGAACACTGTGGGGATGACCAAACAGGCTGTAAACAGGTATGGACAGGTTCACTGGGTAGGCAAGTCATTGGCAGATGGACCATGTGGAAAAAATATCTATTTGTGGCAGAGATTTCCAAACTAACACAGTAACATATTAAAATACCCATTCCTTGCCTGTCCACATTTCCAGATCCAATGAGGATATGTCCCTGAGGAAGGCCAGTTTTCTGACTGGGTATAATAATTTGGCAACATGAAGGTACTGAGTGTAACAGAGTTTGCTACATCTCATTGCATCATCATCTTTGTCATTTGCATCGTTTGAATTATATTTAAAATATTGGCAGAGAAAATATAACGTGGTGACATGTAATTCATGTTTGTGGCGAAAAAGATAGGAAAAACAAAGTTTCTGTTTAAAGTGGTAAGAAACAATGAAATATTATGGTCCAAGTTGTTTATGGTATCAGAAGGCGAACGTGATGGCGGAGCCAAAAGTTAGAGGACAAATGGTATATTGCCAGGAGATTGTATTACGAACGTGAGGAAGTCTTGCTGTGAATCTCTCTAGGTCAGATAGTCACTTTCTCTGGAAGACATTAACATCCCTTCGGAGTTCCTTCATCTCACACACAGGCAAACACACACAAACTCATTCTGTCACACCAGCACACACCTAAGCTCTTACAGGACACATGCTCACACACACACAAACACTGTCATTACATGCACAGACACACATGTAAAGCAATACAAACTCACCATCTCACAGTCACACAATCTTACACAAAACCTCTGACACATGCTCCAGCACAATCTCTCAATCAAACAAATTCAACCACAAACTCTCGCTTTCTTACAGTCACACAGTCACTCCCTCACAAATATATGCAAACAATACTCATTTATCAGCACAAAATTTGAAGCCAAATGTATGTCAGTGTCGGATTTGATAAATTCCTGTTTTCTGGATGAAACACACCTGACTCCAAGTTAAAACTTGACAGATTCAGAACAAAGCCTCACACGTACAATTCAGCAGTGGCTGACCGGACATGTTATCTTTTGTATATTCCAATCATATTTTCCTGTTTGAAAAGTTAGACATTCAGTGCTGACACTTCTAATTATCTCAGGGCACTGTCTTGAAACAGATTCCGTAGTTTGCATCTTCATGAATTAAATAGTTCATATCCTTTGTAACAGAGGTCTCCTCATCATGCTTCTTCAAAGCTAATTAACATTTCTACAATGCAGGAATGTATGAATAAAAACAACTTCTTCCCCTCTCCTGTACTGACAGAATTCCAGAACAGAGATAGTCAGCATGGCTTTGTGCATGGGAAATACTGTCTCACAAACTTGATTGATTTTTTTTCAAGATGTAACCATAAAGATAGGGGAAGGCAGAGTGGCAGATGTTGTCTACATGGACTTTACTAAAGCCTTTGACAAGGTTCTGTGTGGTAGACTGATTAGCAAAGTTAGATCACATGGGATTCAGGCAGCGCTTCTCAATTGGATACCTTGTAAACTTTTCACTGTATTCACGTGAGTACATGTGACAATAAACCTAATTCTAATTCTAAAATCAGCTTGCTGGTAGGAGACAGAGGGTGGTGGTGGAGGGTTGTTTTTTGGACTGAAGGCCCATGACCAGCGGCATTCTGCAGGGATTGGTGCTGGATTCACTATTGATTTTATAAACGATTTGAATAAGAATTTAAGAAGCACGGTTAGTAAGTTTGCAGATGACATCAAAATTAGTGGTGTAGTCGATAGTGAAAAAGGTTATCTAAGATTACAGAGGGATCTTGATCAATTAGACTAATGGGTTGAGGAATGGCAGATTGAGTTTAATTTGGATAAATGCAAAGTGTTTGCATTTTGGTAAAGCGAACAAGGGCAGGGCTTACACAGTTAATAGTAGGGCCCTGGGTAGTGTTGTCGAATAGACGAATGTGGGATTCAGGTACATAATTTTTGAAACTTGCATCACAGGGTGGTTAAGATGGCATTTAGCATGCTTGCCTTCAGATCATTGAGTACAGGAGTTGGAATGTCACATTGAGATTGTACAAGAGGCCACTTTTGGAGTACTGTCTATAGTTCTGGTTGCCCTGCTATAGGAAAGATATTATTAAATTGAAGAGGGTTCAGAAAGATTTACCAGGACGTTGTCAGGACTAGAGGGTGAGAATTACAGGGAATAGGCTGGATAGGCTGAGACTTTTCTCACTGGAGCATAGGAAGGTTGAGGGGTGACCTTATAGAGGTTTATAAAATCATGAGAGGCAGAGATAAGGTATATAGTAAAGGTCTTTTCCCTAGGATGGGGGCGGGGAGAGTTCAAAACTGGAGGGCATATTTTTAAGATGAGAGGAGAAAGATTTAAAAGGGACCTGAGGGGCAACTTTTTCGCACAGAGGATGGTTTATATGTGGAATGAACTGCCAGAGGAAGTGGTAGATGCAGGTACAGTTACAATATTTACAAGACTTTTGGACAGGTACATGAATAGGAAAGGTTTAGAGGGATGTGAGTCAAATGCAGGCAGGTGGGGTCAAGTTTAGTTTGGGAATCTTTGTCAGCATGGACAAGTTAGACCAAAGGGTTGATTTCCTTGCTATATGACTCTATACCTATTGATGGACAAAAGCACAAAACACCAAGTTATTCTATCCTGCTCCAGTGCTTTAGATACAGTAATCATACAAGCACCAGAAAAAAAAGGATTTTAAAGAAATTTATCACTATAGCTGGTTTCAAATTGACATCAAATCAGCATATTGTACTTTGAATGGTTTCATATTCAAACCTCAAATGAAGTTTAGATTTCGCATATCCTAAGACAGGTTGTGGGCAAGGAATGGTCTTTTGTTTTGGACCGATCATTAGATTAAATAATCGGCTCTTTCTCACAAACAGCCTGACTATATTCAAACAGCAAGTGTTGGTAAAGTAGGATGGTTGCAACAAAACCACTAGGAAGAGGAGGAGATAATTCCAATAGAAAGAACAAGCAGGGCCAGGTTAATAGACACAGTAGGACTGGCAGTCTGAAGTGTATTTATTTTAACGCAAGGAGTGCAACAGGTAAAGCAGAGGAGCTTAGAGCCTGGATTAGTACATGGAACTACAATGTTGTAGCCAATATAGAAACCAGGTTGAGAGAAGGACAGGACTGGCAACTCAACGTTTCAGGGTATAGAAGTTTCAGGTGTGATAAGAGAGGGATCTAAAAAGGGGTGGGGGAGCTCCAATAGTGCTTAAGAAGAATGTCACAACTGTATAAAAAGAGGACATCTTGGAGGGTTCATCCAGCGAGGTCATGTGTAGAACTCAGGAATAAGAAAGGTGCAATCATTATGATGGGGTTATCCTATAGGCCTCCCTATAGCCAGTGGGAAATAGACGAACAGATATGTAAGCAGATCATGGAAAGATGTAAAAACAGCAGTGTTGTTTTTAGTGGGTGATTTTAACTTCCCCAATATTGACTGGGACTCCCTTAATGCCAGGCGCTTGGATAGGGCAGAATTTGTTGAGGAGGGTTTCTTGAAACGATGTGTAGATAGCCCAACTATGGAAGGGGCCATACTACACCTTAGAATTGGGGAATGAGCCTGGCCAGGTAATTGAAGTTTCAGTGAAAGAGCATTTTGGCAACAGTGATGATAATTCCATAAGCTTTAAGACAGTTATGGATAAGGGTAAGACTGGTCCTCAGGACAAATGCTAAACTGGGGGAAAGCGAATTATAATATTATTAGGCAGGAAGTGGAGAAATTAGATTGGGTACGGCTGTTTCAGGATAAATCCACAGCTGACATTTGGGAGTCTTTTAAAGGCCAATTGATCAAAGTTCAGGATCAGTGCGTTCCTATGAGGATAAAAGATAAGGAATGGCAAGATTCAGGAACCTTGGACGATGAGTTAGTCAAAAAGAAAAAGAAAGCATATATAAGATTTAGGAAATTGAAATCAAACAAAGGACCTTGAGAAACATAACGGGAGCACAAAAGAACTTAAGCAAGGAATGAGGAGGGCTAAAGGGGGCCATGAAATATTGTCGGCAAGGAGGATTGAGAATAATCCCAAGGCATTTTATGGCATATTAGTAGCAAGAGGATAGCTTGGGAAAGGATAGGTCCACTCAATGACAAGAGAAAATTAATGCATGGATCAAGAGGAAGGAGGTGAGCTGTTTAATGTGTATTTCGCATCGGCATTCACCAAAGTGATAGATGTAGATGTGGTAAGATTAGGGAGGGATATTTTGATATTCTAGGCCATGTCAATATTAAGAAAGAGGAGGTGGTGTTGGGTGTCTTGAAAACACTAAGGTAGGTAAGTCCCAGGGCCTGATGGCATTTATCCCAAGATACTGAAGCAGGCAAGGGAGGAGATTGCTGGGGCCTGGATAGAGATCTCTATCTTCTTTAGCCACAGGCAAGATCCTAGAAGACTGCAGAATAGCCAATTTTGTTCCTTTGTTTAAGAACAACAACAGGGATAATCCTGGAAATTATAGGCCATTGAGCCTTACATCAGCAATAGGGAAATTACTGGAGAAGATCCTTAGGGATAGGATTTACTCGTATTTAGAAATGAATGGACTTATTAGGGATAGTCAGCATAGCTTTATGTGAGGGAAGTCTTGTCTCACAAACTTGAGATTTTTGAGGAAGTGACAAAGATGATTCAGGAGGGTAGGTCAGTGGATGTTGTCTACATGGACTTTTAGTAAAGCATTTGACAAGGTCCTTCAAGGTAGACTGGTCCAGAGGATTAAGTCACATGGGATCCACAGTGAGTTGGCAAATTGGATACAAAATTGGCTTAACCATAGAAGCTACAGAGTAGTTGCAGAGAGGTGTTTTTCTGACTGGAGGTCTGTGATCAGTGGTGTTGTGCAGAGATCAGAGCTGGAACCTCTTGTTTGAAATGTATATAAATTACTTGGATGAAACTATAGGTAGTTTGATTAGTAAGTTTCCAGATGATATGAAACTTGGTGAATTTTTGGACAGTGAGCAGGTTGCCCAAGCTTGGATCGGTTGGAAAGTTGGATGGAAAAATGGCAGATGGAATTTAATCTGGATAAGTGTGACATTAAGCATTTTGGAAGGTCAAATACAAGAGGAAAATATATAATAAATGGAACACACTTAGCAGCAGTGATTGAGGGATTTTGGGGTGTTAGTCCATAGCTCACAAAAAAAATGGCAACATAAGAAGTGGATAAGGTGGTAAAGGTGGCATAAAACATGCTTGCCTTCCTCAGTTGGGGCACTGAGTATAAAAGTTGGCAAGTCATGTTGCAGCTGTATAAGACTTTGGTTAGGTCACATTTGAAGTATTGTGCTCAGTTCTGGTCACTGCACTAATGAAAGAATGTGGAAGCTTTGCAGTAGGTGTAGAAGAGGTTTACTAGGATGTTGCTTGGATTGGAGTGTATTAGTTATAAAGGAGAAATTGGACAAACTTGGATTGTTTTCGCTAGAGCATCAGAGGCTGAAGTTTATAAAATTATGAGAGGCAAAGATAAGGTGGATAGTTGGAGTCTTTTTCACAAGATGGAAATGTTCAATTCTAGGGGGCATAGGTTTAAGGTGAAAGGAATAAATGTGAAGGAGATATGCAAGGAAAGATTTTATTACACAGTGGTAGATGCCTAGAAGGTGCTGCCAGGAAAGGTATTAGAAGCAGTTACAACAGCATCACTTAAGAGGCATTTAGACATACAGACAAACAGGCAGGGAATAGAAGGATATGGACTTTGTGCCAGAAGATCGGATTAATTTAGAACTGCATCATGGTTGACACAGATTTGGTGGGCCAAAGGCCTGTCCTGCGCTGTATTATTCGATGTTCTATGCAATCAGAGCAGATATCTCTTTCAGATGGTGAGATGGTCTGGACTTCTGGGGTCTTCCTGCCTTTCCTCCAACACATTCCTATGCTGCGGTAGTTTTTTCTTTGACAAATTTTCCATGTCTCCTTCCTCCGCTGTTATTCTTCTTTAACTTTTACACCTCCACTGGACTCAATTTTGTTCTAAAATTATCTCATTACCTTTTGTTTTGTATTTACCTCAAGGTCTTTTGCCTTGCACAAGCATCTATTGCAACTGATCTCTTGTACTCTTCATCCTAATACACACCTCTCCCCTCTGTTCCACCTTGCTCCTGCTAAAGGTCAGCATTCAATCCATTGCTTTTCTTGAATATATACAAATGACTCGTGTGTACAAGGCACAATTTCCAGCTCTGTGGGTGAAAGGAAATGGAAAGGTATTGTTAGCGATGAGGAGGTCCAAACAGTATGGATGGGCTGGTATATTGGGCAGTAACATATTGGATAAAAAAAAACTTAATGCAGAGAATTTTAAATCAGTACATTTTGGGAGGAAGAAGTAGGAGAGACTATATAAAGTAAAAGGCAAAATTCCAAAGAGTAGGAATGCACTGCAAAACCTAGGTGAATATGTGCACAAATTGCTGAAGGTGGCAGGGCAGGTTAAAAAGGTGTACAGGATCCAAAGCTCTGTAAATAGAGGCAGCATGCAAAAACAAAGATACTATGATGAACCTTCATGATTCAGCCTCTAATGGAGTATAATGCTCAATTCTGAGTTCTGGACTTTAGGAAAGACATAAAGTGTCAGGGTCGATGGACTTCAGATATGTAGGTGTATCGGAAAAGTAAATGTTGAACTCCTTAACAGATTGAGAGGAAACATGATACAGCCATTCAAAATGATTAAGGATTTTTACAGAGCAAATAGAAAGTAATTGTTCCCACTGGTGCAAGAGTCAATAACCAGAGGACAAATGATTCAAGGTGATTGACAAAAGAAGCATCAAGGTCACAAGCAAAATCCTTTTCATGTAGTGGGTGGCTAGAACCTGGAATGCACTGCCACCGGGGATAATGCAGTCACAATTTCAAAGCAACTGAAGAGAAAGAATTGGCAGGGCTATAATCAAAAGGGTGGAGGAATGGGGTTGGCTGATACACTCTTGTAGAGAGCCAGCATTGATACAATGAGCCCAAGGGTCTTCTTCTGTGCTGTAACCATATTATGGACCCTTGTTAACATGCTGGCACCGAGATTGAAAGAGGTATGTGTTTTACGCTTGAGGATTGCCCCTTGCTAAAAACTGAGCACAGGAAATTTAATAAATATGACAAAGACAAATTGCTGCTATAAGTTGCTGAAATATCACTAAATTAGTTTCCAAATTTCGACTAAATCATTGTGACCTTTATCTATGGAGAGGAAAGATAAACCATGTACAAACTAGATGTACCAATCTGATGTCAAATCATGCAAGACTCTTCAAGGTACATTATACACCACTTTTAGCATTTCAAAAGAACCAGCTCAAGCTGCACTGAGCTAAACAGAAACTGTCACAAAGAATGTCAATAAGCTTGCATTTTCTTTCTTTCTGGAATGTTACAAAGGACTTGGTAAAGTGAGATAACAAGGTGTAGAGCTGGATGAACACAGCAGGCCAAGCAGCATCAGAGGAGCAGGAAGACTGACGTTTCAGGCCTAGACCCTTCTTCAGAAATGTAAGGTGTGCCGTTTCTCAAGCTCCACTACTTCAGGGATCACTACAAAAATTACAATTTAATCAAAGCTTGCGAAGCCCCTGATTTACATGTTTGATGAAATCAAATTAACAAAAAAAAAGGCCCTCTGCATTTAACAATAATTATTTCGATACTTTCTAATCAACCTGTTCAGAGATGTTATTATGCACCTCTAGGAACAGGTGAGATTCAAACCCAAGCCTCCTGACCACTGCAACACAAGAACCCTACAATAATTACTGTTTTTTTTCCTAACGAGCTTATTCAGGGACATTAATTCACATGGCACAGAAACTCACATGGTCTGTGGATATTTTAGAATTCTTCCTAATCAAGTCTGACCATCCTTTAGTCATTTGACCACTTCTTCGCATAAAATCAAATGATAATCTTATAAAGATGACCTAATTTACTAGAAGTTTGTTAAATCAGTGCTTTAAAATTAAATTTTCAGATAACAAAAACCAAGTCTATTGTACACTTCACTCTATTTTAACTTCCCATGATCCAGTCCATAAAGTGGCATAGGAGCGTCTGTGATAGAGTTAAAGATCTTATATAGATTTCATATGTCTGAAACCCTGCGATATGCATAAAAACTGAAAGAACTGCGGATGCTGTAAATCAGGAACAAAAACAGAAATTGCTGGAAAAGCTCAGCAGGTCTGGCAGCATCTGTGAAGAAAAATCAGAGCTAACATTTCGGGTCACGAAACATTAACTCCGATTTTTCTTTACAGATGCTCCTGGACTTTTCCAGCAACTTCTGTTTTTGTTCTGCAACGTGCATGTCATTTTCGGCTTTCTAAAGGTTTTCAATAGTCACTCATAATAAAAGATTTTGGACAGCTGCCATTTAGCAATTAAAGAGAGCAAAAGTAACAATTACCACAGTGCTGAAAGCATGAATTTCTTACATCAATCAGTATACATTTGTTCAGTATAATTCCTAAATTATAGCACAGCAACTTTGGTCCTTAATACAGCCAATTAAGATTAATGATGTCCTTAGTTCAAAGGTATCAAATTTAATTGCATTCACTTCCATTCTGACCTCTTATGAGCTATAATTCTATCTTGTATTAGACCCTTGCCTGTTGAGGGATTGTCATTTTGGTTATGAATTTCTTCAGGTCAATAACCATATCTTCACCGAAACAACCCTGTAATCATGCATGGATTTAAGACAGATAGTGCAAGCAGAAATTTACCCGAACCTGCTGCTTACTAAATAAATTGATGTAATTTCAATTTTCATGGTTAGCTCAGTTAGATTAAAGATTATCCTAGTTAAATTATTAAACAGTTTCTTCGGCAGGCTGAAAGAAATCTGTGCCTGTATTTGTTTCATCGACATGATAAATACAACTGTGAATGTTTCTTAATGTATCCTTTAAAAATTAATGCAGACTTTATCTCTCTTATCAAGGTGTCAAAGACCCTCATTACATTGGACTCCTCCACCTTTGGAAGCATGGATTTTTCACTAACATAGCACTTATGTCACTTTGCAGCAGTACACCGCAAATATTTCACATATAAAGAACTATTGTTTTGTAGGTGAATATCACAGCTATTTATACATCAGCTTCCACAAACAGACACAGGAAGAATGACATCTTTATCTGTTTTTAATGCTGAGAGTTAACATTACTCAGAATGTTGGGACAATTGCTACCTTTTTCAGATAAGCCCAAAAGCATATTTAACATCCATTTGAAAAGGTTATGGCCCTTGGCTTAATGTTTCATTTAAACTTTGGGACCTCCAAATGTATGTGTTTGCCTCAATAAAACTTTCAGAAGACACCTTGAACCAACAGTTCTGAGTTGCGTTGATAAAGAGAACACCTATATAGCAAGGCAGGCAATGAACTCACTTTAAATTTTTAACATAAAATAGCATTATTTAGTTTTGTACGACTAATTTTGGGTGTAGTCATTCTGTTCTGATATTCCAGTGTTTACAAGAGTTGAACTGATACAGCCCAGGAGAAACAAAGGAAAGGTTACATCCATTCCAGCCTTTTGCAAGGTCACACTCATTCACTTGACTTTATCTTCTCATGTCCATTAGCAGTCCAAAGTTCCCCAGAAAATTGGCTCAATTTAAACAAAGAAGCCATTTTTACTTTCCCTAGCCTTTATGTCTCAGCTTCCCTTTCAAATCATCCTCTCGGATTAGGAAATAACTTACATACCAATTTTTGTTCTTGTGTTGGGTGCAGAGTTGAGAAAAATCTTGGCTCTGTGCACCCAATATTTAAAATGGCCACCGACATTTCTAATTTCCGATTGTTGCTGCATGTGCAACTGGGGAAGCATCCAGGGGCCAAACATTTCACCTACATGTTCAAACAAGATTTCAAATGCTTGACACTTACATTTTTAATCCGTCATGTCAACAAAGACATCCATTCAGCAAGCAACTGGAGGTTTCCATCATTATGGCCAAATCCAGGGCAAGTTTCAATTGTTCTAGATGGGTAACCCACATCATTAATCTCCCAAGTGAGGATGGATGAACTGACTCCCCATCTTCATCCACCTGCCCATTTTGTTAATTGCAACAGGGTTAATTTTTTAAAAAAAATATGCCTTAAAAGAAGCCAATTTCACCATGCCTTCTTGAGTTCATGAAAGAGAGAGAGTTTATTTGTTTTCAATAACTAATCAAAACAGTAATGCAACATACATATACATAGATCAGAAATAAGAAAGGAGTTCAAAAAGAAAAGTTGAGAGATATACAGATCAGTCTTTCTGGGTGGTCATGAAGAATGGACTGTAGAACGTTGATAGTTGAACATTGACTTTTTTGGCTTTTGCAGGTTAGTTACGTCCAATTGACGTCTTTCGTTTGATGGTGGTTGGCTGGCAGCACCCACAGCAAGAATCCTTCTGTTGCCCTGTTTTCTTAGGACTGGCTTGTTAGCTAGTTGGCTTCTAGCATTCAATGCAAAGTAGTCATTTTACCTGCAATGCAGGGATGACTGGTTAGTGATTCTTTGACTGTGGCCTACTAGCACAAACCTAGGCTAGCACAAATTCTTCCACTAGCACACAGACCAGGTTTGCAGTCAGGAGATTCTGAAATAAATAGGGAGAAAGGGGGAGGCGGATAGAAGATGGATAAAGGAGAAGATAGGTGGAGAGGAGACAGACAGGTCAAGGAGGCGGGGTTGGAGCCAGTAAAGGTGAGTGTAGGTGGGAAGTTAGGGACGGGATAGGTCAGTCCAGGGAGGACGGACAGGTCAAAGAGGCGGGATGAGGCTAGTAGGTAGGAGACAGGGGTAGGGCTTGAGGTGGGAGGATTGGATAGATGGGCGGACAGGTTAGGGAGGCGGGTATGAGCTAGGCTGGTTTTGGGATGTGGTTGGGGGAGGGGAGATTTTGAAGCTTGTGAAGTCCACATTGATACCATTGGGCTGCAGGGTTCCCAAGCGAAATATGAGGTGCTGTTCCTGCAACCTTCAGGTGGCATCACTGTGGCACTGCAGGAGGCCCAGGATGGACATATCGTTCAAGGAGTGGGAGGGGGAGTTGAAATGGTTCACGACTGGGAGATGCAGTTGTTTGTTGCGAACCGAGCATAGGTATTCCGCAAAGCGGTCCCCCAGCCTCCATTTGGTTTCCCTGATGTAGAGGAGGCCACAACGGGAACAGCA